TTTATTTTATTTTATTTTATTTTATTTTATTTTATTTTATTTTATTTTATTTTAAATAAAATTAATTATTTTTTTCTCTTTATTTAATTTAACTTCATTTTACTATATTTTTTTGTTTTCTAATTAAATGTTTGTTTCTTTTACTTTGTTAATTACTCGAAAAAATTTATATTCACGCAATTTTTGAGGGTTTTTCGGTGCGCTGATAATTACAGCAACATTTTCATTTATTTTGAATAAATTATACCAGCGAATTTTTTAATACATTTTTTTTTCTCCAGTATTTTCCAATAAATTTCGCCACATAAGGCGCCACAAGTGCCACATTATGCACGCGCTCTATTGAATTGATCAATAGCTTTTCTATTGAGTCTTCGGAGACCAATTCACAGATTTTTTAGACATTCTAAATTCCCATATATCCTAATATTTTCAAACACATGTAACATGCACAAGATTTATTTTGATTTTAATTTTGCTTCTTAGTAGCCCACTCACAACTTGCCTCATATCGAACATACATAAATCACAATCGACATTAAAACTTCGGATATTATACACCGGGGAACAATTTCGCGGCCAGAAGCAGGCATTAGTGCAGAAAGCGCGGCATTTATCTAGCAAAAATGTTGTTGATACAAACTTGCATTTATGAGGGTGTGAGTCTACCAACAGCTAAATTGACTTGTTATTGTACAGAGTAAATAAATTAAGTCGATGAATTGGTAAAAGTTTGATGGGAAATTCGGTGTGGGTAATTCATTTGGCTTATATTACAGAAGTTTTCAAGAAAAAAGTTATTTTGGGCATTCGACAGATTTTTAAGGAATGCGAAAATGGTCACAAAAATACTATTTTTAAAGCTTGGCCCTTTGTCGGAGATCTATTTTTTATTTTATTATTTATTTTATTTTTCTTAATTCCTATTTTTGCAAATCTGATAGATACTAGGTTTGGCCCATATGAGCCAATGAAAGAAAGCTACGCAGGTTAAATAAAATGGCGCGATATTTTGCAAGAGTCTTTTACGGTAATAGTACTAGTACTACAATGGAACTTATAAAAACCGTTTTGAGTTATTCGACTTGAGAAAAAAGAGAATGGATGCCCCAGTGAGTGCTAACGAGGGATTAAGCAGGGACGCAGAAGAAGTTATGGGCCCAAATCCAAGACACCAATTTTAGACAAACCCTAATAATGAACCGTATTAAGAGCTGTTTTCGATATTCGACTACCATCGAAGATAACAACCGAACGAATTTTAATTTGGTATTATAACATTTAGACTGTTCACGATAGCATATTGCTGATGGCTGATATTGTTCGCTTACAAACGAAAAGACTTAAATTGGTCGAAAAGAATAGTTCCGAATGATCATAATAAAATTCAAAAAGTAAAAAAAGAGAATGGATATAAACGACCGAGTTGTGGTTGGAAATTCACTGAAGCTTCAATGGATTGTACAAAAAACACTCTTCAAACTACCCAAGTACTCTCTTTTACATGGCCCATCATATTAATTTGAAATTTGATTTGTAATTTTCAACAATCAACGAAGATCGAAAATATCATGTCATTCCTAATAGAGGTTAATTGGATACAGTCAATTTTATTTCTCTTTCGTTTGGACTCTTTTATCACTATTTCAAATTTTTTAAAAATACGCTGAAAATAAATTTTGTTTACGGACCTGGAAAAGAGCACTGAATTCAGTCTTCAACGTTCATATATATTTCTCAAAGTAGAGCTTGTGTCAAACATCATCAAACTTAAATGAGAGGGGTTCATAGAAAGTCGGAGAATCAAGGATCTTACATAGTAGATGAGGGAAGGAGTGAGAGATCTCCATTCTGTTATTTTAAGGAGTAAGGCCCCACTAAAGGTTGAAAAGTAGATTAATCTTTCAAAATTTATTGTTGGAATATAGGAAATGGAAAAGAATTTCTATTTGATCATTTCATTGAACATATGCTGAAGTATAAAAAAATATTCTGAATCGATTATTTTGTAAAAAAAAAAATGGCGGTGATAAAGTCCATTAACTAATCCATTTTTTTGATCAGAGGGGTCTAAGTGAGGACCGACCCAGGTGATGAGACCGGGCCAGGTGATAAGACCTGGAATAGTTAAGAAAAAAGATTCATGATCTACAAACTTTGGTCTTTGGAAAAAAGTAGGGATTTATTTTTTTAAATTTTGTGATAGGAACACACTTTTCTTCAAAAATATTGATTTTTGTATAAAAAAAATAAGAACTAATGTGAAGCTACCATCAAAAATTCAGATAAATCGATGCAAAGGGTCCAAATAATATGTTGACCTGAAATATTCGATTTTTAGAAAAACGTTTTTAAAGGTTTTCATTGTACTCATCGCCCGCTCTGAGGGGCTGCAGAAATACAAAAATTAAGCTGTTTGAAATATTTTTTCACTTCAAAACCAATTGTATATCATTTAGAGGACCCCAATGTAACCTGTGAGTCAAAAAAAATGCGTTTTTCAAAATCTTAGAGCGGTTTTACACCTTCTTGGATCACTATTTTGAATATCCCACCTTTCCAGCCAATTGGAGTGTAAGTCTTCCTCTTTCTCATTTTCAATATTTGGCGCATGGTGAATATTTCTTCAACTCCACATGTTCGGGTTCTAAAGGTACAATGGTAAAAATGGTAATCATTAACCCACGAAAAATGGCTCAGTCTATAAGGTCCACCTTACTGTGGATTAGGCAAATCATCTTAAAAAAATACGTCAATCTTCACAGCATTGTTGTCTTTTTGGGAATGTGGATTCGCCGTCTTCGGATGTTCCATTTATATTGCCATTCAGCAGGTAGAAAGCATACGCTTTTCTGTTTTCGTCTGTTCATGCGCTTTGCCGCCCTCTTCAGTTTTCGGTATCTATGTGGACCCTCATGTGCTGTGGTCAATTACAATGTTACGAGATAAAAAATCTGATTTCTTTCCAGTGCAGCACGACAAATGTTGCTTTGAAGTTTCCGAACGTCAAAATTATCATTATCAGCTTTATGTAAGGCGCTTGATATGCGATCTCACACTAACCGTATACCAAGTTCCAAATAAATACTCTCAGAGAGCAAAAATGGGAACCGCGGAGCAAACCGTTTGCTGTTAGTTGTGATTGCTTTTGCTCGGTGTCGAACCTTCATTACATTTGTTGGTGGGCGTCACGTCATTAGTCCATCCCAACATGATCGACTTTGCTTTGAGCTTTTCGTTCTGGAGACGGCAAAGTAGCTTGAATGAGTTTTCTTCTACTGGAATTCAGTTTAACATACAAATGTTGTCGCTGTAATTGTTGTCACAAGATCCTATCAATTCTTTTTCCGTCCATCGCACTTCTTATAGGTATTGTTGTTAGACTTTAACCGGATACTTACCCAATTGAGGGACCGGGTATTCGAGGTGTATGCCCTTAAAAATTTCATAACCAATACACTGATTATTTGGTTTAATTTTGTGACCAATATAATTATATATATATGTACGAGTATATTTATATAAATAAAAATGCAAATATTTTAATGAAATTTTTTATTCTCTTGCAGGTGCTGACGCTTTTTGCCGCAAAACCTTAGGGAGTAAAAATAAAATTATATGCAACAAAATGTTGATAAGAACAAATTGCAATAAGAATAAATGCAAACTGAAAATAAAAGCTGAAAAAGCCAACAAAGTATATGGAAAGCAACATGCAGTTCCAGAAGATTGAATGAAAATTAATATAAAATTAAAATTAAAAAACCGGTATTAAATAATTTAATAACCGTGAAAAAGTAATGAAAAAATTACGATAAAGTGAAAATTAAAAAAAAATATAACAAAATAAGAAAGTGCAAGTGAATTTCATTAAATCTCCGCGTAAAATTTCTTATCTAAATCTTCCCTCTAATACAAAAAAAAAAAAACATGACAATACACCCGTATTTCCACTACTTACGCTCAACACACACCAACACCCGCCCATGTCGCCACACACCGTCACAATTCCGCCAGTAAACACAAATGTCCGGCCAACGCGTCCGGACCTTAAACCAAACGTGACACATGGCTATGTACTATTATGCTAGTAAAATATCGGCAATCGCTTGTGGAACACGTTGCAGACAAACAGTCTTACAGAAATCGCGCGGACAACGTGATCGCGATAAATATGTCACGACATCGGATGACAGTGACAACAATGGCGAAGGTGATGGGTGTCGTGGCGCTGGCGTTGGCATTGGCGTTGACGATGGTGTGGCGCATGAAGGTGCCGGCGTTGTTGTTGGTGCAGGTGCTGGCGCTCTTGTGGGTGCCAGCATTGATGGCGCCGTGCCAGGTATGGCTATTTATACGACAGCGGCTGAAAGTGCATTGGCGGCGGCGGCGGGGGCGGGTACCGCTGTGTCCTTGGGCGATGGCGTACGTCATCGTCGGCGACACAGTGAACAATTGGACGCGTACGATTTGGAGTTGGGGTTTCAGAAACTCGAGGTGAGTGGAGGCGAGGTGTAGGTTGTATTGATGATAAATTAATTAAAGATTTATGTATACAAAAATGTTCTTACATATTTACGTTTTCACTTATGTATACTGGCTAAATAAATGCAATTCAATTTTCTTGCGCTCAAATGTAGGCAACAAAAAGTATTTAAGAGTAAATTTATTTAAATGTGGTACCTTGGGCTTAATATTGTGTAATGATGCTTTTATCAAATGGTATATTTATAATTATTTACATTCACAGTTCTTGCTTTATATTTCCACTTTGATAATTTGAAGAGAATATTTAATGGACAATTTTTTAAATAAATGTTTCGTATATTATTGCTTAATTTAAAGAGGAAACGACGAAACGAAATTATTTAATAATAAGTTTTTTTTTTTTGATAAGCCTGACCATGAAATTAAATATTTAACTATAGTTAGAAATTTGGCAGAAGATTTGATATTGATTTTCGGTTTTTATGTTTAAAAGGTAACACTGACAAGTTAGCACGCTGTAGACAAGTTAGCTTGTTTAGCTCCAAAGGTAGATTCAAAAAAATATGAATTAACTAGTTCCTAAGCTTCTTGCGAAGCTTAAGAGCCGGCTTTCAGAAATGCAAAGACACAAGTTGCATCAAGCGTGTTCTTGATAATGCTGCTTATGGCCGTTCTGCAATCCTATCAATATATCCCCGTCGAAATTTGGTAAAAAGTTCCTCACTATTTTTATGAATGATCTTGGTGGTGTTGTAGGTATCTATGGTCCTGATTTCTCGTCGAATTCATCATAAGCAGTTTTTTAGCGCTTTGGTTTTTCTTATTTCCAAAGAAAATCTGAAGAGTAATATGAACGAAAAAACAAACAATGAATCAATTAATCTAAACTGCACATCCCGTACTGCGCATACTCTTGTTATCTGGGACTTAGCATACATAACGCTGCTTCATTTCGACTGCTTCATCCACTGCTGCCCGATCATGAAAACATTTCCTGACGTAAAACATAGCAACGAATAGGTCCCACTATTTATTGGAGAACACTTAGACGCATACCAGTAATTGAGAGAATAGCGAAAATCGCTTTAATGGTTTGAAGTTGAAAAGCAAAGTCCTCCCTCGACGAACGAAATCCAAACTCTACAAGGCGCTTAACATTCCCGTCCTACTCTATGGGGCATAGGCGATGACAGCAGCTGATGAGTCGGCGTTATGAGAATCAAGAAACAATCGCTGCGCTGGCAAGGTCATGTTGTCCGGATGATTATGAATAATGCAGTTTTGAAAGTATTCGATGCAGTACCCTCTAGGGAAAGCAAAGGAAGAGGAAAGCCTTCACTGCGTTGGAACGATCAAGTGGAGAGTGAACTGACCCTACTTGGAAGCTCCAATTGGCGCCAGGCAGCGAAGAGAAGAGAGAAATTGCGCGCTTATATTGATTCGGCTATAATCGGGTAGGCAGTACCTAAATCAGTAAATAAGAAGAAGATGTATATAATACAAAGCAAGATTATTGGCTTTTTCGGCCGCAACGATTTTCACCAAAAAAAAAATTAGTTCAGTAATCGGGCAGCGTAATATATTCCACAGAGTTCTTAAATTCATTAAAGGACAAATGGTTTTGGTGATCTCGCGGGATAGATCTACCCACTGTACTAATACAGTCATTCCTTAGAGTACCTTAAACAACTAAGGTCATAAGCTTAGCTTCATTCTACTCCACCCTCACATGTCTGTAGTTTTGTGAGAGTACAGAAAGCTCGAAGTTCTTCCTAAAAATAAACAAAAAATTACATTAAAAATGGCGATTTTAAAAATTATGTTTTTTCACAAGAAATTTTTGTTGTTCACTTAGATATTGGCACCACGAATGAATTTGGGCAAAGCAGTTATATAGAGCTCGGCCGATCATCGCTTCAGCGGTTACAATGCGCCAAGATTTCAATTTGCCGCTATTTGTGCAGTAAAGCTGACAGTTAAGGTTTGGCAAAAGTGGAATGCTGTACAATACACCAACTGGTCATCATTATTGAACAATATTTTCTAAAAAAAATTAAAGCTGGGCAGCCGAAATTTGAAAATTTTGTACAAAATATGGTCGGTCAACTTTGTCAACTGTGGAGAGATTAATTGAAAAATTCCAAAAGACGCCAAATACTGCTTGTTCTGAAATAAGTCATTAAAATGACTATAATGGACAATAATTTAAAATTAAAAGAAGCTCTCTGAAACGTATACTCACTAAGGATATGTGCCTCCCTGACTACAAAATTTAATTAACACAACAACTAAAGCCTAATGGCCATGCAAAGCGAAAAAATTGTTAACTTTAAATGTATATTATTTCAATTTTAAACTGATGTAAAAAAAATTCACAAAAAAGCCTACCCATCAATATTACCTCAAAAGCTCAAAAATAATATCGTTACATACCTTCAGGCGCATAATGCTTGCCCAAAAACTATGAACCACTTTAAATTTACATTAGAAACCGCTTATATAAGCATATGTTTGTATATTTTCGCCTTTTCTACAAATATTTACTCAAGTAGTTAGAGGTGTGTGAAGTTCTGCAGCTATTTAACTGCAAGCACATACACACATATATACATACATGCATTTAGCCAAAGGAATGAGTTTTTAAGCTGTATACTTTTGCGTCAAAAAGTTCCACTGCCAGCTGTGTAAATATCAGACTGAGTAACAGAACTTTTACGTCAATTCACACATACATATGTATGAATGCAGAAAAAAGAAATTATAATAATAAAAATTTAATGTTGGTTTGTTTGTATGTATGTAGAGTAAGCGAAAAAAAAAATTTGCAACATTAACAACAAACAATGAATACAAAATATTTACAAATCTCAAAAGTTACTTGCTCGAGTACTCACTTATTTACTTACTCATATTTGCTCTCGAACTCACTCATTGCGTATGCACTTTGATGCGGAGAAAAAATCATTTTTACATTAAGTGTGCTCGTATATATATATATATATATATACCATTAAACGAAGGTAAAATAAATACATTTAATGGTTATTAAGTTGTAAACTATTTCCACAAGCAATGTTTGTATGTATGTATGAGCCCAGTCAAGTTCGAGTTTGAATCCCTCAAAAGCACAGTCAAGTGACAATATATATTCCTTTATATATTTATGTTTATAAAAAGGCATGCACATGAACTTTTCCACAAACTTATTCTCACATTCTTGAATCTGTATGTTTGTTAACGGAAAGGTCCTCAGATGTAGCAAATTTATACATATATATATATATATATATACATCTTTGTTGACAACAAACACAGAAATTTAATTTTGAAAATATACCAACAGGAAATTAAAGCAAATCCGATAATATATATGTAAGGAAATATAATTTATTATAATATATTTCAATAACAAATTAATAGAGTGGAATATTATGAGTTCAAATGATATAGAAAGTAAAATTAATTTCAAATTCTGCCCTGCTGCTTTGCGGCTGGTTATTACGCCTGTCGACTTCTTTCCAACTTCGGGATCAGTCAATACAAATATATGACATACTTCACATATACAGTTGTAGCTTAAAAAGCTCTAAACAAAGCTCTGAGGAAGAGCATAGAGATGTTTCTGGTATAAGCAGATAAGCATTGCACAGCACTCAGTTTGTTATGAGTAAAACTTTTTTATTATCGCAGTTCTTCAGTTCAAATTCTTTCAGTACTCAATGCATTTGAAACCAGTGGAATTTCGAAAAGCATGGTCAGGCGTACGCTGCTGAAATGGAAAAAAACTATCAACTAATCGTAACTATTTACATCACTCTAAGTTAATTTTCTATAAACCAAGACTCTCAGCCTGTGGTTGGTAGCGTTTAATCTATTCATAGCTTTTCTTTTTGCTCAATCCGTCCCTAAATGCTTTTAAGCTTTTTGAATATTTTTCAATACTCCACTCAAATAGAGTTGACTCTGCACTGTTATTGACATTTACGCCTAATTTTATGTCAATGCGATCGTTGGTATTTTAGTTACGCTTGTGCTTACTTAACGACTAAAAGTGCCTTCGTGGTTCTTGCATCACGCAGCGAACTATTTTTAAGGCAGCAAAATCGATGTGGAAGAATAAATAAAGATTTTTAATTTTACAACCAAATTCACCATCAGTGTATTATTCCTATAATTATTTTTATCTCAGTGACTTTAGAACCAGCAAATCAATAATTTTTTATTACTTCCAAAAATTCAAAGCGTAATTAGTGTATTTTATTAAATAATTTTTTTTTATCCTGAAGTTAAGTGTATACAAAAATTAATTACCAAGAAATAATTTCTTTGCTAAACTTCCCTGCTGGGTCTGACGCTTCTTTGAAGGTCTACATACAAAAAGTGCACATTTATTTCAAAATTAAGTTATAATTTATTAAACTAATGGCAAAAAGTATATGGCAACAAATACTGCCTGAGTTTATTATTGTTATTTACACAACCTGAGTACTTTACGGATTTTCAAGTGCGCATCCTTAATAACATTCACACACACATACATAGCTAAGTTTGGGCAAATACATATGTGAACGTAAAGTATTTATAAAATATTCAGAAAATGGCATTGAGCTAAAGAAAATTTCATTTTTATGCTTAATAAGGTTCAACAAGTTAAATTCTCTCTCTCTCTGCTTTTATTAAAAATTAATCAGATTTATTACATTTCTTTGTAATGTAAAATAATAATTTTCATTTGCATATTTTGAATTACGGGAACTGGAATATCTCAAATGATGAAAATTAAAATTTGGTAATTTAAAACAATATTCGTTGCCTACATTTAGGTGTAAGAGATTAAAATGAATCCATAAGGGATATTTTGAACGGCAGTAAAAGAAGTATAGGTTTAATTAAAATCTCTACTGATTCGCCCAACATATTAATAGTATATCGCTGGAGAATTGGAAGTGCAAAGAAGTTCTTCGAAAATCACAACGAGATAGCTTTCCGTATCCTGTGGTGTAGGCAGA